CGCACCCCGGCGTGCGCCCTCGGCGATAAACCAGCAGAATCCCCCATCCTGAGCTCCCCCGACCTGCAAGAGTTTAAAGGGCCTGGAGACGTGGTCCAAGTGGTAGAGCGCCAGCCTGGCAAGCCAGCCGAGGGCGCTTGAGACCACCCAGCGTTCAAACCCCAGTACCACCAATATAAGATCAGCAAATAGGGGCTGGGAAGGTGGCTCAGTGGTAGAGCGCTTGCCTTACATGCATGAGGTTCTGGGTTCCATTCCTCAGCACCACATAAGCAGAAAAAGCTGGAAGTGGCGCTGTGGCTCAAGTGGTAGAGCACTGGCCTGGAGCTGAAGAGCCCAGGCCCAGAGTTCAGACCCCACGACCAACAACAACAACAACAAAGAACAGCAAATAATGATGATTTCATGTTTTGCCAGGTACCAGTGTCTCCAGACTGTAATCCTAGTACTCAGAAGGTTATGTTGGGGATGGAAGGAAGGAAAGCAGCCTGGGCAGAAAAGTCCGTGAGACTCCCATCTCCAGTTAACCAGCAAAAAGCAGGGGTAGAGCTGTGACTCAAATAGTAGAGTGCTAGCCAAGCAAAGGAGCCAGCAGAGAATAAGAGCCAGGTCTTCAGTTTAAACTTTAGTACCAGCCAATGGGAAAAAAAAGTTACAGCTTCAACTCCTAACATCCTTTATTGACTTCCCCTCATTGCCCCCAAAATACTATACCCTGGATACCCTGTGCCCACCTTCAGACAGATCCTGTCTGTTGTCTGTCTTACCCATCTTTGAATCCTTGCACCTATACTGCCTGGCACAATTTTGGGCAAGGTAACTCAGAGACCTAGCCTTTAAGGAATTTAGTGTGTAGATCCTTTCTGAAAGCAAGCATAGAGGTGGGTTTGTGGATTCTGATTTTTTTTTTTTTGGTCGGTCGTGGGGCTTGAACTCTGGGCCTGGGTGCTGTCCCTGGGCTCTTCAGCTCAAGGCCAGTGCTCTACCACTTGAGCCACAGTGCCACTTCCATTTTTCTGAGTGGTTTATTGGAGATAAGAGTCTTGTGGACTTTCCTGCCCAGTCTGGCTTTGAACCTTGAACCAAGATCCTCAGATCTCAGCCTTCTGAGTAGCTAGGATTATAGGTGTGAGCCACTGGTGCCCGGCTTGGATTCTGACTTTTGCTTCTAATCAAATTCATATGTCCCTGGCTCACAGAAGCAGTGTTTTTTTTGTTTGCTTGTTTTTGTTTTGGTCAGTCGTGAGACTTGAACTCAGAGCCTTGGCTCTGTCCCTGAGGTTTTTTTTTTTTGGCTTGAACTCAGCCTGGCTAGTGCTCTAGCACTTGAACCACAGTGCCACTTCTGGTTTTCTGGTGGTTTATTGGAGATAAGAGTGTCATGGACTTTTTCTGCCTGGGCTGGGCTTTGAACCACAATCCTCAGATCTTAGCCTCCAGAGTAGCTAGGATTACAGGTGTGAGCCACCAACACCTGACTTCCTTGAGCTTTTTTGCTCAAGGCTAGCATTCTACCACCTTGATCCACAGCACCACTTCCAGTTTTCTGGTGGTTAATTGAAGATAAGAGTTTCCCAGACTTTCCTATCCAGGCTGCCTTTGAACCAAGATCCTCAGATCTTAGCCTCCAGAGTAGCTAAGATTACAGGTATGAGCCACCAGGGCCCAGCTAACAGAAGCAGTTTTGACAGAATGTTAGGACACAAGCTAAATAGTCTTAAATAGTCTGCTGTAAACCTTAGCTCAGCTTGAGGGGTGACGCCCTCCTAAGTATTACTATAGAATGAAAACCACTGTCACTGATTACTGTGAGGAAAAAAGGGTACAGCCCATTGAAATTCCTGGACGAACACCATCTCTGATGGTGATGGGGGTCAACACACATTGTATGCAATATAAGTGGTCAGAAGTGTTAGAAGTTCTCAGGCCTGCCACTCAGAAGTGCTTCCAGACCAGCAATGAAATCAGTTACCCAAAAGGTGGACAAAAGAACTGCAGCTCTCCAGTCCAACTCTAAATTGCAGGATCAAATGCTGAATTTAAGCCAATTTTGGTGGTAATATGTCTTTTCTGCCCATATGAGAGTTTGAGAGGCATTTAAGTCCCATCATTGAAGCTAGGGCTTTTTTTTTTCTTGGGCGGGGGGGTCAGTCGTGGGGCTTGAACTCTGGGCCTGGGCGCTGTCCCTCAGCTCTTCAGCTCAAGGCTAGCGCTCTACCGCTCTACCATTTAAGTCACAGCTCCACTTCCATTTTTCTGAGTGGTTTATTGGAGATAAGAGTCTCACGGACTTTCCTGCCTGGACTGGCTTTGAACCATGATCCTCAGATCTGAGCCTCCTGTGTAGGTAGGATTACAGGTGAGCCATCAGCGCCCAGCAAAGCTAGGGCTTTAACTCAGAATTCCACCCAAGCCCCAAGTATGTCCATGCAGACTGTGAAATCACTTTGGATATGATCCCAACCACAATTAGGATGGCATTGCCTCCAGTTCTGTGACCTAGAGAAGACAGGAATGCGGTGGAGGGGGAGCTCACACGGGACTCACGTCTGATTTGCTTAATATCTGGGCCCTGTTCAAGGAAGGGAAGAAGACTACATAGTGTGTTTTAGTTTTGTGATTCAGAGCCTAGAGCAGCAGTGAAGGGACAAGGTCTTAACCAAGAGGCTGAAGCTGCTTTTTCCAAGATGTCTTCCCTCTGCAGATCCCAAGGAGAAAATTGACATTGGGCTGCCCCCACCTAAGGTCTGCAAGACCCAACAGCTACGGGAACGGAAACGGATCCGGCGCGAGCTTCGGGCCAAGGTGGAAGAGGAGCGGGCTGCTCGCCTCGGAACAGGTAAGCCTGGCGGGGGGGGGTTTCGACCGCCAGCCGACGGGGGGGGGGGGGGGGGGGGGGGGGGGGGGGGGCCCTCCGTGCGTCCCTGCTCCAGGCCTCATCCCACAGCCTCCTTCCTTCCCAGCCAGCGTCCCACTGGAGTCCGTGCGGGCCGAGTGGGAGAGGACGTGTGGCCCCTACCACAAGCAGCGCCTTGCTGAGTATTATGGCCTGTACCGAGACCTATTCCATGATGCCACTTTTGTGCCCTGGATCCCCCTGCGTGTGGCATATGCTGTGGGCGAGGAAGACCTGGTTCCCGTGTACTTCGGCAATGAAGTGACCCCAACCGAGGTACCTCTGGCTGGACCCGTCTCCTGTGCCATGCGCACACAGACACGTAGTGAATAGCTCCTGGGGTTGGGGATTCTGAGCTCCTGGGAAACAATACATGTCATTTGCAAAGAAAGTAAAAAGTGGCTCTGTCTGTGCACATTACTGGATGAGCTGCTGGCTTTTTTTGGTCAGTCATGGGGCTTGATCTCCGCCTGAGTGCTGTTCGTGAGCTCTTTTTGCTAAGGCTAGTGTTTTACCGTTTTGAGCCACAGTGCCACTTCCGGTTTTCTGGTGGTTAATTGGAGTTAAAAGTCTCACATACTTTCCTGCCCAGGCTGGTTTTGAACCTCCATCTTCAGATCTCAGCTTCCTGAGTACCTAGGATTACAGGAATAAGCCACTAGCGCCCAGTGCGCTGCTGGCTTTTTACAGCCTTCTGGCCCCTGTTACCCCTATTGTAGTTCTAATCTTGGACGGGGTCTCTGCCTCTGTTTTGGATCAGAGTAGGTGCTCCCTTCTCTAGGGCCCTTTCAGCTACAAGCCCCCCAGAAGGAACTTCTACTTCCACAGGCAGCTCAGGCACCGGAGGTAACCTACGAGGCCGACCAGGGTTCCATGTGGACGTTGTTACTCACTAACTTAGGTGGGTTTCCAGCCCTGTCTCCTTCCTCCTCTCCCTCCCCCTCCCCCCCAGCAGGGAACGGTGGGGCCAGCACTATGGGTTGTTTCTGTGCAGATGGACACCTGCTGGAGCCAGATGCTGAGTACGTCCATTGGCTAGTGTGAGTATCTGGCATGGGGCGGGATGCAGAGGCCCTAGAAGGTTCAAAAGAAGGCTGCCCCTGGGTTTCAGTCTTGACTATGCCCCAGACTAACTTCCAGTCCCAGCATATGGCCCCTCACCTCTGCCTCCTGGCGGTGGCAGTGGGCCTCGTCAGCCGCATGAGCCTCTTCCTCCCTCTGACCTGGGTCCTTGCCTGGGAGGCTGGGCTGATGCCGGCACATTACTTCCCGGACCGCTTGACAAAGAGGCCGAAGACTGGGAAAGGCCTCCAGCAGCCAGGACATCTCTGAGTGCTTGGGGAACTCTGGCATTCCTTCCCAGCTCATCCAGCGGGCTGCGCCAGGCCAGGGGCAGAGGTCAGGCAGGGACCCTTGACACGCATGGATAACTGAGGCAGCTGGAGTTATCTACCTATCTAGGCAGGTACAGTGGCCTCCCCAGTGCCAGGCTAGGCAAACTCACCCTAACAAGACCCCAGAGACCTAGAAATGGGGAGAAGCAGCAGAGGGGAGGGGTGGTGGCTTTCGTTAGGCCTTGCCAAATGGGGTGCTCAGACTTGTCCTCACCACCATCCTGTCTCTGAGCCTCTCTCTCCAAAGTCTGCATGATGTGCAAGCATCATGCTAGAGGTTGCCCGGGGTCTGTGCCCTTGGGGACTGACTTAGAGTCTAAGATGCACACAGTTGGGCTGGAGGTGGGTCCCTGCCTTCTTACTGATTCAGCAGTGAACAGATACTTACTTCTTAACAGAACCAACATCCCAGGCAACAGAGTGGCCGAGGGACAGGAGACGTGTCCCTACCTACCCCCCTTCCCCGCCCGAGGCTCCGGCTTCCACCGCCTCACCTTCCTGCTCTTCAAGCAAGACAAGCCAGTCGACTTCTCGGAGGACACCCGCCCCTCGCCATGGTAGTCCGCACCCCCCCCCCACGCGCCCCGGGCCTCTCAGGCCAGCTCCCCTTTCCATCCAGGTCCTGAGGCCTGCAACAGAGCTGGACACCAGGCCCACCTCGGGCTTCCCAGGATTGCTTGTGGGGTGGAAAGGATGGGTGCCCCCCCCCCCACACACACACACTGCTTTTCCTAGCTATCAGCTGACCCAGCGGACCTTCCGCACTTTTGATTTCTACAAGAAACACCAGGAAGCCATGACCCCAGCAGGCCTGGCCTTCTTCCAATGCCGCTGGGATGACTCAGTCACCAGCACCTTCCACCAGCTTCTGGGTAAGGGCAGCATGAGACTGGGGCGGCATGGGCCTGAGCACACAGAAAGGGTTACCTGCCCCTCCGGTGGGCGGGCAGGCCTGGCCAGGCCTCATCCTCACAGGCAGGGCGGGGCTCAGGCTGCAGAAGTGCACCTAAGGCCCTTTGCTCTTTCACAGACATGCGGGAGCCCGTGTTTGAGTTTGTGCGGCCGCCCCCTTACCACCCCAAGCAGAAGCGCTTCCCCCACCGGCAGCCCCTGCGCTACCTGGACCGGTACAGGGACAGCCACGAGCCCACGTATGGCATCTACTGACTGTACCCAGTGGGGTGCGTCCGCTCTCCAGGGCCTGCTGGGAAGGGCCCTGGGGCCAGCTTGGAGGTCTGTCCTGAGGCAGGCCCTCCGTGGATGGCAGTGAGGACATAACTGGAGGGAATAAAGAGATTTCTATCTGCTGCTGCTGGTCTGAGAGTCCTGCTAGAGCCCACCCACCCCTCCACCCCCCTCCGAAAAGGCTACAAAATGGGCCCAGGGGAGACGTTCACTTTCAGGACTGCATGTGTCACTGCAGAAGACATGCCGTGATACCTTGCAGTGAGATCTCCAAACCAGGCCTTGCTGTGCACTGTAGCTATTCAGGAAGTGGAGACCTGAAGATCACAGTTCAAAATCAGCCCACATAGACAAAATTGAGAGGCTCTTATCTAATTAGCAAAAAATGGGATTATTTTTCTTTTCCGTCGTGGGTCTTGAACTCTGGACCTGGGCATTGTCCCTGAGCAGCTCAGGTCAAGTGCTCTACTACTTGAGCCACTTTTGGTTTTCTGGTGATTTGTTGGAGGTAAGAGTCTCATGGACTTTCCTGTCCAGGATGGCTTTGAACTGCGATCCTCAGATCTCAGCCTCCTGAGTAGCTGGGATGACAGGAGTGAGCCACCAATGTTGTTCTCCACTCCTTCCCCCCCCCCCCCAGTCCTGGAGCTTGGACTAAGGACCTGAGCTTTTGCTCAAGGCCAGCACTCTACCACTTGAGCCACAGCGCCACTTCCAGCTTTTTTCTTTTTGCTCCTGTGGTGATGAAGAATCGAACCCAGGGCTTCATGCATGCAAGGCAAGTGCTCTGCCACGGAGCCATCTTCCCAGCCCCTCTACCCTGTTTCTTAAGATGCTCCATCCCCAACCGCCCTGGAAGCCGGTACGGTGTACGGTGCCACCGCGCGTGGGAAGGCCACGCCCTCGGGCCCGGCCCGGGGTGGCAGGGGGCCGAGTCACGACCAGGCTGCGCCCCCAGCCACGTTCCGCACCAGCGACTTCCCGGTCAAGGTCCCGCCCCTCCCCGCAGGAGGCGGGCCCGCGGCCTCCCTTCCCGGCCCGGCCAGCCATGGACGCCTCGGTCGCGGAGCAGCTGAGGGAGAAGCTCAACTGCTCCATCTGCCTGGGGCTCTACCGGGACCCGGTGACGCTGCCCTGCGGCCACAACTTCTGCGGGGACTGCATCCGGGACTCATGGCGCCGCTGCGAGCAGTCCTGCCCCGAGTGCCGGGAGCCCTGCCC